ATGCTGCTGTGGACGATGGCGACAAGTTCGCACATGTGAAAGCTTGCCCCGATCCGAGTACTTGTGCCGTGTGCGTTTTCATGCGGAACGAATGGAAGTGGAAAGCAGGGGCTCGTGTGCTCAGAGATGGAGAAGATATCGGTAGTTGGCTTGTGATGGGCAAAGGCCCGGGTGGCCGGCTTGGCTTGGGCTGCTGGGTGTGCCAGCAGGCTGGGGTAGACAACGAGTTTGCAAGTGCAACCGTTGTGTCTGGGAGTTTGGGGAATATTCGCCGACATGGGTCTTCGTCTGCTGAGCATCAGGAGGCCTTGGCGAAGCTGGGGTTGGATTCAGTGTTGGGTGCGGTGAAAGATGCGCCCTCGACAGCAGAGTTTCACCAGGTGCTGCAACGTTTGGGCCAGTCTTTGAGGAAAGGCGTGCCGGACCAGTTTGGGCGTCACAAGTGTGGCCAGATGCGATATTGCTTGGCCGAAGCATCCCGTGCATCTGCAAGAACATTCTTGGCCCAGGCGAAGAGTATCGCCGTAGCACAGGATTGCAGAGCCAACAGGTTGCTGATGCGTTACTGTGCCGTGGACGAACGCCTTAATGTACGGAGAGGATTCTTGGGTTCCTGTCTGTTGTATGGTGGTGAGACTATCAGCAATTTGCTTGTCCACATGGACGCCGTGGTCACGCGATTCTTCAGCGAGGGTGCGGGCGGGCCCTCTCCTGCCGGTTGCAATGACGTCCAAAAGGCTCACTTCTGTCAGGCTGTCAGCATTTTCGTGGCAGACGCAGCATCAAACGAGCAAGGCGCCGGCCGTTGCTCCCAGCAGCTTTTTCCCAACGTGATGTCAGTTCAGAAGGATCGACCGCACGCCGTGCAGCGCTTGCTTCAGAGGCCGTGGTCGGCAGTGCCAGAATTGAACGAGCTTCTTCAAGCCTTTGTATTTGGGTCCGGCTCCATATGTCAGAAAATCCAGTTCTCTCATGTCTTGCAGGGTGTCTTTCAAGCCTATGTGCGTGAGCAGGAGCAATGCCCTGTGGCTGGACAACGTGTGCGGAACTTGCAGGCGGCAAAGCACCGCTTTGCGAGTTGTCATCAGCCTCTCGGGAGGCTCATCCTGTATTGGGACTCCATCTTTAGTACGTTAGACTGGGTCATCATAAAGAGAGCGGATACCGAAGAGTCTGTGCAAGCTCGTGATTTTCTGCTCCAACTCACTCCGCGGAAGATGATTCTGCTTGCAATGCTGGCTGATATTGCTGACGAAGCTCAAGCCTTGGTTCGGTCGGTGGACTCGGAATCGCATGATACCAGCACATTTCCCGAACAGCTGGCTGCATACACTTCGCATCTCCATCACTTGATCAACGAGGCCAAGCGGAGAAGCTACGAACTAGGGGGCTTCAGCTAATTCAGATAAAACATACACAGCTTCACAAGTTAAAGCCCTGCATTCAACCCTCCTCCCAGCTATATAACAGGGCGAGATCCTGCAGACCGGCTTCACACTGTGCATGCTGCAGCAGCTGGAGCACAGCCGTGGTTTTATCCTCGGTGGGCAAAGCAAGACCATTGGTGGCGAGGATGCGGTTACAGAGGACGACATTTTAGACTGCATCGGTCGTTTGAAAGTTTTCTTGACTTTGACAACGAAAGCAATCTCCACTGAATTCCCGACGTTTGATTTGCTGAGTTCCTTTTCTGTGTTCCGCCTGAATGTCCAGTCCCGGAAGCGGTCCGGGGACGATCTGGATCCTGAGTGGAAGGATCGCTGCTTCCAGCGCATGGCAAAGACTTTGAAGGTGGACAAAGCTTTGTTGCTGTCCCAGTTCGGGCAGGTGAAGCCAATTGCTGCACATGAGGCCTTGGCGCTGCAGGATGGGTCTACTTTCCAGGCGTGGCAAACCGCTGTGCAGCGCATATGCTCTCGCCGGAGGGCGCAGGAAAACATCCGAGTGGAGACGTTGGCCGAAGTTCTTGCTTACTACGGATCCTGGAATGGTCTTTGCACATCAGGCGTAGAACAATCGTTCTCCGTCATGTGCCGTGTCATCACTCCAGAGAGGCGGCACATGTCAGAAGCTTGCCTCTTGGATGAGTTGCAGCTGCATTTTGACGGAGAGACATGCGGCCATGACGCCCTTTGCACGGGTGCAGTCGTTGTCTGGCAACGTGAGTTCGGCATCCCTCGCAAGAGCTGCTTCGACCAGGTTACAATCACAAAGCGTCAGCAGCCCAGCATCACAGAGGATGGTCGTGATGCCACGGAAACAGCTTTCCGCAAACGCCGGCGAGCAGAGGTCGCTGCTTCAGCAAAGCAAGTGTCAATGGAAGTTGTGGAGTCGGCTGCCAGGGAGGGAAGCGCTCAGTATTGGTCGGCTTCTGCCTATGATGAAGAGAAGTGGCAAGAAAATCGGCATTACAAGGCCAGAGTGCAAGCCTTGCTTGAAAACACTTTGGTTGAATCAGAGATCGATGAGGAACTGGTCATGGTAGCACAAGCATACAAGGACCAGCAAGCAGATGCTGATGCAAAAAGGTTGCGGAAAGAGGCCAAAGCGGACGACCTCCTCCGCCCTTTGCTTTTGAATGTGCAGGATCACCCGTATTATGTGGCGGACGCAGCCTTCGCTGCCCTTCCGGGTGTGGACGCCACTCGTGCTGTGCAAGACTTGTTTCTTGCATCCACTTTTGTCGTGAAAGATCCGGCGAGTCCTCCTGACGACGTTCTGTGGAAGGCCATGTTGTTGGGAGGGTTCCTGGCTAATAAAGATGCCTTGGTCAGCAACGGGCGATCAGGAGTCGCATTCCACTGTTCTGCAGCGTTGCACACGAAGCGCAGTATCTATATCAGCGACGACTTCCGAGCACAGCACGCTCCGTTGTTTAGCATTATCGACCGAGCTCTCAACGAGCCAGATTCCAAGTGGCGCCGCCTGCAGTCCTGGGAGGAGTTTTCTGATAAGAGTCACGCTGCTTGCGGCGATCATGTGGCCCAAAAGAAAACGTACCAGGTGGTAGCCTTGGCATCGAGAGCTGAGGCGGCAGCTGTCAACATGGCAAATGTCATGGATCAGAAAAGCTTTGAGAGCTTCATGCTACGACAGTCGGTGGCGAAGAAAGGTTTCGGCGGACGCTG